CAAATTATTCTGCTATTATTGGCTGTCGACTTTAATAAAGCCGCTCGCTGTTGTTGTTGCTGATGTTTTTGTTGTTGGCACGTTTGCCTAAATGAGAATTTATTGCACCCAATACGGCATTGTGGCGGCAGCGCCTATTTTAACAGCTCACCCACCTACTACTCTCTCTACACAACTCTACTATAAATAGTATAAATAAGTATGTGTGCGTGTGTTTGTGCGCGCTTGGTCGCAGGTGCGTGCTGTTGCGCCATTAAATATGCAATTTTGCGTGTTCAAATTAGTTGGTCGCATTGGTCCGCGTGCCGCATTTGTAATCCGATACTCGCAGTTAGCGGCGATTGTATGCGTCGTACATTGTTGCTGCTGTTGTTGTCTGTGTGCGTGCAATAAAAAGTCGCATCTTTTTGGTTGTCATAAATTTGAGGTTATGTTTTTTTTATTAATTCACACAGCACTGCTGTCGGTCTGTTGAAATCGCAATTAATTTTATGACAAATGGAAATAAAGAAATGCAAATTTAATTCATTAAGTTAGTTCATAATTAATATTTTTACATAAATAAAATATCATGATATTTTCAAAATTGTATAAATTATCAAAAGTTAGTAAAAAAATATTTGATTTTCATAGATTTATGAAGCAATGCTCCTGCTTACTCAGCGTTTTATTTAATTTGCAATTTCTTCTTTCCATTTTCTTTTTGAAGCGTCTCAACAAATTGTTGTTGTTGCAGCGACAGAAACATTTCTAAAGTAATTTGGTGTAATGCTGCCGGGTTGGTAGTTTTGAGCCGGATTAAAATGCGGGTCCGTTCTGGTTACGTAGATCCGACTTTCGTCGGAACGAATGTCATCGTCTTCGCCCTATGCACAGTCTACTTTTGAGTATAGAAAACACGTTACAGAGCTCTGTCTGATCAAAAATAACCCGGAGAGGTTGTTCTGTAATTATTTTGTAGTAGAAACCTAAGAAGATTCATTTAAGGGGTTACATGGGTTTCGTCGAATAAAGAACGCATCTTTTCAATAATTTTTTTTTCATATAAAAAATTAAAGATTTTATTCAAATTTATTATTCCGAAGATACATATTTGATAAAGATTTTGTAAAAATATTCAAAACTCGGTCATTACGACGTCATTTCCGGCAGTCCCTCGGAAAAAAGGTGCTTCCGCGTTAACAACAGAACTGCTGACAGGATCATCAAAAGTAAAAAGAGAAAAATACTTGTTTGAACTGAGACCATTAACTAAGTGTTGGATGAAAAAAAACAAATAAAGTGAAAATTGTATTTCTGGCAGACATTTAAAAAAAAACGCAAATTTTGGTGAAAATTTCTCGCCGTTTATTTACTATAAATAATTGTAATTGAAAGATTCTACAGATATTATAGAATTAAAAAAGCCAATAAACAATTTTTTATGTTTTAAAGACGTAAAACTCATGTAACCCCTTAAATCGACAAAAACGAAATTCACTCAGTTAATTCCAGAGCTCTTTCAGATCATTCGGCTTTCGTAGCTAATGGTTTAGCTTAAATTATAATTTTTCTCAATTCTTTCTATGTTTTATTAATCATTATCTTCAGATTATTGTATTTACTACATTTTTGGTTCAAAAATTTTCAGAATAGTCCACTCATCAATCTAATCTCTCATTCTCTTAAGAAGACACAACATTCTTGAAACTTGTTGTCAGCTGTCGTCAAATTTTATCAGTGAATATATATACAGTGACGCCAGTAGGCCGATCTGAAGCTCTCCATACGCACAGAGCTCATACTCATACTAATCATTGTTATCTTTTAGTATACTTCAACATTTAGCTAGCTATATGTTATCCTTTAGACAATTCTAGCTGACAGCTATGTATTCTTACAATAACTTTCAATAACCTGAAATATGTTAATGTATATTTTTCGCTCTATAAATTAATTCTTAGCCCCTCTTTGCTTCTTCTATGGATTCTAATCTCACATATGATTTCATAAGCTGAATATTATTCTATAAAACAGCTCAATAGTGGCGATTTTCTTAAAAGTAAAAAAAAGTAAAAATGTATATATTTCGAGAACTGTTAATGCTAAAACCGTTAGATAACAAAATTGCATTTGCCTTTGTCTTTTGTTTCCACCTTTTATACCCTTTGACAACAGAATATTATTAGCGTCAAATTATTTATATATATTCTCTAAAGCAGCTATAAAAAGGTTCTGAAGAAGTTCTGAAAGATTCGTGAATCTCGTCCGATAACCTAAATCCGTTAGTAATCAATATTTATTTTCTTTATGAAATGCTAGTAGTTCGTGGTTTTGGTTTTTGGAGTCTTTAAGGTCATTCACGGTACAGGCTAACTAATTTCAGATAAATGGTGGTATATACCACATAAAAGGTTGAAAGTTTCCAGATAGAGCTCACTCTCTTGTGATACCACTAAGATCTACCAGCACACGGCTTCTGTGGTTTCATAGAGTATATATCCTGACTAAAGAATTGAATGACACAGATACATACCATCATCGGAGGCTTCTCAATATAAATTTCAGGTCGACTTTTTGTATTTAGCGGATCAGATAACTAGAGACAACAGTGCTGCTTCGGGTTCGCAACTACCAAAATATTTTTTGTATGTGTAATAAAAATAGAAATCAATACTTTCTGTCAAGCTAAAGCTTGTTGGGTTATTATGGTCAACATCTGCAGTTTGTGGATAGAATTTAAGTCGTCTCTTTTGTTCAATTTCATTTGTTATTATGCTTCTTCACATCATAATAAGAAAATGCAATCTAAAAACGCAACTCAATTTATTTGAGCACATTGCAATCAGTGTGTTATAAATAACGTAAATAATGACACAGAGAGTGCAAGGACATTCAGAACCGATATGACTTAATGATCTTACTGATGAATACGTTCACAAACAAATCTCTCGAATACTGTGGACTACAACACTAGGCGAGCATATTTTACATAACTGGCACACCCATCTTAAATTTACACACTAACACACCTTCACACTCTTATGTAGGCATATATCTTTAAGATTTCATGCTCTCCATTTACAATAACAAATCGAATTGAATTGATTTCAATGGAATGCCATTAAGAAAAAGCAATAAAAAAAAGAAATCAAATTGCGACGCATCGATTGAATATTGAATTGCATGGCATTGGATTGCAATGGATAATAAATGCAATGCTGTAGCAAACAAACGCAGAGTTGTATTCATATTGAACGAATAATGGTAATTGTCTCTAATTGAATCGAATTAAAGGTGCAATTGACAATGTTAGCGCAGCGGCAATGCGACGGCGCCAACGACTTTCAATGAGCGAGCGTTCTCCTTCTCGCTTATGTCTATATACATATGTGGAGATGTATGGCTGTTATTACTCATATTCGTACGATTGATAATTTACTTCAATTGAATTGAATTCAAATTATTCGTTCAAACGAATGCGTGATTGAAATTTTTAATTTATGTTCATTGTTCGGCAAATTCAATTCAACAAACATGTGTATGTATATACGTATACACATGTTTGTATGTATATATGTATTTATGCCGTGGTAAGAGAAAAAGCGAACATATGTTTGTTATATTGACACACACATATCACATTTACATATCTACGAAATATAATACGCATATAGTATATAGTTGCTTTTTAACTGACCCTTAACATTTTTGCGAACTTTAAAAATCGAACGGGTTACATGATGTTTGTTAAGTGAAGATGAGGTGAACTTAAGACAGCAATTGCCGTGAAAAGAACATCGTAACATCAACAACGCACAAAATCGTATTTCCCCTGGAAAATATTATTTTCAATTATTCAATGGACTTTCAGATAGATTTTCGAACATAAAATTTTATTTTCAAATCCAAGCATAAGTCAGGATGCTTATATGATCGATAGGTTAAGTTAGGTAAATAAGCTGATTTTTCGTGAGGCCACGAAAACTCATCGTTATATCACACGATCTTGGTGGCCAATCGACCGGCCCAAAACGTGAAATTATCTGCTCACCGAAGTTTTCTCTTAATATATCCATTGATTTATGTGATGTGTGGGAAGTGGCGCCGTCTTGTTGAGATCACGAGCTTCAATTTCAGACATCAAATAGTCGGTTATCATTCAAGAGTAATTTTGCCAAATAAAAAAAAAATATTACATCTTTCAAGGTCGATGGGTGTAAGATAAGTCTAAACAAGAAAAAATGTTAACTTTGGTTGCATCGAAGCTATATAATACCCTTCACAAATACAAAAAATTCCTTCCCAGACTTTAATTCCTAATCGGAGATTGCATTATTGCCTTAGATAATATACCATGCCAAATTTCTTCAAGACATCTCGTCAAATGAATAAGTTTACTATGTAAGCACTTGATTCCGATAGTTCAGTTTGTATGGCAGCTATATGCTATAGTGGTCCGATATTGTTCCGTTCCGACAAATGAGCAGCTACTTGGTGAGAAAAGGACTTGTCCAAAATTTCATATCGATATTTCATAAACTGAGGGAATATTTCGCTTATATACAGACGGACAGACGGACATGATTCAATCGACTCAACTCGTCTGTTGATCATTTATATATATATATATATATATTATAGAATATCCGACGTTTCATTCTTAATGTTACAAACTTCGTGGCAAACTTAATATACCCTGTTCAGTAGCGATCGATCATATTTCGAACTCCTCATGTGGTTTATACATATATGGTATATAAGCAACAAAAAATATTTACAAAAGAGCTATAAGAATTTATATAAATATAAATCGGCAGAATTTAATTGTAAACATAGAAAGTATTTCTATATAAAATTAAAAAAATAAATTTTTATAAATATTTAAGCTCACATTTTTTTCAAAAGTAATACCATAACTTTTGCGCTTAACTGTAATTGCAAATATTCATATGTCTACAAATACTCAAAATAAACATCTTTATTTATGAAAAAAAATTATCTTCGTTATCTCCTATCAGCTTGGTCCTGCTGCCGCGGGAAGAGGCATGTTCTGCTATCAGTGTCCGCCATCGTTGCATCCATGTGGACCGCATCCGTCGCGCTTGCCAACGCTGGATTATCCGTTTGCAGCAACGCATCCATGTAAGTAGGCGTGCATTAATGTATCTTATATACATATATATATTTATGTATATATTTATTAGGGTGGAGTGAAATTTTTTTTTTGTTATTGCTTAGTCTGAGGTTCAAATTTGTAGATTATGAAAAACAAATTATTTACGCTCCACTCTAATATGTATAAATAATATATAATTTAATAAATGTAAATATATTTTTAAATATATCTACACAAATCTATAAACCTATAAGCTATTTGAAGGAAAGACAATATATTTAAATTTGAATGCATTTAGGTTGCTAGTAAACACATATGCGCTCACAATATATTGCATTGTATTTGTTTAAACTTATTTACATATCTATTTACATGTATTTCTGTGCACACAGGTACAATTGTCGTCCTTTCACGCCCTATCGCAGCCACTTCATTTCCTTTATCACTCAACAGCCATAGATCAAATTTAATAAAATTAGTGTATAACTGTAAAAGTGCAACATGCAGCATAATAAATACATAAAATATGTGCTCATATGTTTACAATAACAAAAACAGCTAAATATATAATGCGGAAGAGAATACGAAATGAATACACAGCAGCAACACAGATAAGATAAAAAGCCACTGATAAGAGTCATGTGTAGCACTAAACTAATTTCGCAGCAATTTTCGACGCAAAAGCAAAGCGGCCGATAAGCATCTTCAGCGCAAAAATAAAGTTAGAGGCTTACATACACATGTTTGTATATGCTGATGTATGCGCCGCTAACAGACAACTCAACTTTTGCCAAAACATATGTACATATGTATGTACGTCCTACCCGCTATTGTTCGCTCGTGCACCGTTTTCCGTCACACTCCCTCAGCCGAACTCGCTGCATGTCCTTCAAATGCATTAACGAATTATTCTATTAGCCTTTGCGTTCGGCAAAGTATTCAAAATATCGAATTACCAACAACAACAATAAAGACCGCTTACAACTTTTCTTGTCTCGCTATGGAGGGTTAAACTTTTGACAGCAAAACATTTTTTGTTGTTGCCTCGATTTTTCCTGTGGTCCATTGGCTCTCTTGACATTTGATGGGCGCTTTTCGGACTCACTTTTTTTAGATTTTTTGTTTTTATTTATTTTTTTTGTTTTAATACTTTTCGTGCCATCTTCTTATTGCTGTCCTTTTCGGTTTTTTTTATATTTATTTGGCTATAGCGGGTTCGCGTAAATTGAATCAGAAGAATTTGTGTGCCAATCGATTCGATTATGGTTCGAAAATTTTACTGATTAAATTAATGGACATTGGAGATTCATCAAGTTATTCAATCAAGCGTTGTGGTGAAAATAGTTTGAACATACGATATTGACATATGATAGGTTGATTGGTGAACCATACACCAACACATATGTACTCGTAAAGGAATATACACATACATATCCGGAAATTCGTTGAAATCATAAAGAGCGCGTTCACTTTTGTAAGCTTCGTTTGAAAATATTTCGAGAACTGTAATTAAATTCAATTGGGATTCTTATTATTTAATCATAAAAAGCGTAAATTTTAATTCTCACAGGCATACATATATGTATGTACATATATTCATATATGCCTAGAATCCTTTGTGCTCGGAATTCTGTAAAATGCGATAGGTTCTTTTATTTACTTCAAGACGCATGCTATTTTTATCTTGACCAGCGCAAACTTTTTATGGTATATTGCCATGTACACTTTTTCTCCCTTATTCGCCTAAATTAGTGAGTTCATTGAAACTTATAAGATGTGAGCTCTCTTAGCTATAAGAAACATAGTATTCTTGCAAGCATCTAAGTATTTAAGAGTTGTGACAAACACTTAAAAATACTGAGACTGGCCTCCAAAGATTTAAGGTTTGGAATGTAGTTTTCGGAATTTCAGGATTTTGAAATATTGATATCGGGATACCGAAAAATTTAGAGATTTATTATAGTTAAGTTGCAATTTATTATTGTTATTGGTAAAAAGAATTTTATACATTTCGGGATTTTGAAATGTTCATTTCGGGATTCCGAAAATTTTCGGTATTTAGGATTTGTGTGTTAAGTTGCTAAAATACTCTCCAAAATATAAAAAATAATTATTACATTTTTTGACTTACAATATTACCATATCCTAAGAGGTGTAACTGGATAGTATAAAAGGACGTAAAAGTATTTCTTAATAATTCCTCAGTTTAAGAATTAATATGCACTAATTTCTTTATAGAATATTATCATTGATAAAAAAGAGTTATATGCGTTTCAGGATTTTGAAATATCGATTTCGGGATCCCGAAAATTTTCGGGATTTAGGAAATGTAAGTCGCTACAATATTTTCCAAAATATAAAAAAGCCAGTAAATTTTAGTGTTGTGGCTTATAATACTGTTTTGGCTTATAATACTTCCATATCCTAAAAGGTATAACTCGATGCTATAAAAGCAGTTGCATGTATATCGCTCTTAAATTCTCAGTTAGGAAGTATCTGCATACACTTCTACAGAAAATATTTTTAACATGTTTCTATAGCATTATTTGCAAAACGATTTAGCGCTTTTAACATACATATGTATATGTATGTATATAATTTAGAGTTTAGCCACTATATCGCCGCTCTCTTTCGGTACTGCTGTCCTTTTAAAAAAATATACTCAAATAGTCATATCAGGAATGTCATTTAATGATATGTAATAAACATACATATATTCGTATGTGTATTATCACCACATTCTTTCAGTAATGAAAAAAATACGATTTCGCCAAGGCCAAATGCCAATGCTTGCCATCACTCGCATAAGCTTGTGCGCTGCATCAACCAACAAGCGCTGAAATCGAATTGACAACGATTTATTCGATTTGCGTAGAGCGTTGAGTGTTGACTCTCGCAAAGGCATTTACAATTACAGCTGAAGGACAAACCGAAGCGCCACAAAGGAGTGTCATGCCAAAGAGCAGCAGCGAACGAAAAATCAATTTTTCTTATTGAAGCAATTATCGAGATAACGCTGATTGCACGAGAATGTGAAGGAGCAAAAACAAAACGTGTAGACACATGTAGGGTGCTAATTATATTGGAATGTGAATAAGTATGTAAATTGGTGGAGATTGGAAAAGCAATATGTAAGCATAGGTACTCATATGTGTCTGTGTGGGTATTAACGACAATCAATGCATGTAATTGTAATTGTAATTACATTGTCGCCTTTGTCGCATCGAAAGTGTCGCTCTCGTCGCTCACTGATGTGGTAGGCGGCTTTTCTTCAAAGCCAAAGGCGGCTTCATTGAACACCTAAAATCAGAGCAAAGTAATTTTCGGTTACGAAAATATTTTCATTCAAATACAACACTCACAATCAATCAATCAGTCAATCAATCAATCAACAGGCGGCACATCAAGCATGCAACGCAATGATTTGCAAAACAAAAGCAGAAGAAGAAGCATAAAAAATGAAAACAAACCGAACCATCGATTATTCACTGCACAACACCTGAGTCTAAACGCACATAACGGCACGCCATACAGCGTTGTTCCTGCGCTGAAGCTGTGCGAATTGCCGCATTGCTGGCTTGGCGCGCATAACGGCACTGTGATTATTGCATCTGTGATTATTGAATTTGCATTGATAAATTTGCATATTGGAGTGTGTGTGTGTGTGTGTATTTCGATTGGTTGCGAAATTTCGGCGCGTAGCACTATCATGCGCGTATAACCGTAAAAGGCGCCGCCGACACGCTGGCAAATAGCGCTAGTGTTGATTCCATTTTGAGGCGCTAATGATGCCGCCAAATGAAAGTGCACTTAATATATATGTGGCATTTACATACATATATGTACATATATATATTTACACTTTTGCACATATTTTTATATGTATGTAGGCATTTGTGTGGCATGCCGCCGTTAGTTTTGCTATTTGCGCAGGAAATTGCGGTGTTGCGACTGTGATTGCTGGTGAATTTGTAATTTTCGGCAAATATTCATAAAAGCCGACGCCGTCAAAAGCATATCAATGCTGATATAAAATAAATAGACAAATCTGTTAGTTGTTAAGTGAATATGAAAATTTGCATAGACTCTTAAAATATTAATGTACATGTATGTATATTACACAAGTATTTCCTTTGATGTTTTAGCATGAAACTTAAAGTGGTACAAGTTTCGTACTAGTACTGCTACTACTTCAAATGGAACTAGTTGTTTAATCGAGTAAAAAATTTTTAATAATAAACAATAAAAAATGTTATTACTCCGCACATGCGATTAGCTTAGGGTTTTCTTTTACAGTTATCTGCTTTTCACCAAGTATTGATATGTATGCGCCTAGATGTAGGCTACTTTTGATTTAATACATTTAGGTATACTTAATAAGTTATGACTACCGAAACTTCTCTATGCATAAGAAAGCGGTAAACGATCACACATACATACATAAGAGTTTCAGTTGGTTTTTTTTTCAATTCCAGCTTTAGAAACTCTTAGAAACATTAACAGAAGTCTCTGGTAGCGCTCTCTGATGATTAGAGTATGATTTAGATGCTATAGTTGTTTTGCAGGTTACCTATTAAGAGGGACAGCCATTGTGAAATTTCGATTGATTATAAAAATAACATTAAATCGATAGAGGCCTTTGAACACTAGCAAAACAGGGCATAACACAAAATGTTACTTTAGGGTAGTGTTGATGGTAAACATACCAAGAAGCTGCTACTTCTAAGTAAAAATGAACTTAGTTATATTGTTGGGGTCATTACACAGCACCTACCCTAAGAACTCAACTTCCGCAAATTGGAAAAATGAATTCGACGGAATGCAGAGCATGTGCGAAGGATGATGTGACATTGGAACATTATCTATGCGAATGCCCAGCCTTCGGTCGAACGATACGGGATATATTCCATTTTTCCCACTACTTCAACTTAACAGATATTAGGCACTTGGGGTGGACAAAATCAGGTTTTTCACCACATCTATTGAGCTGCTGGATGATGTCTTAATTGGTTGTCACCCGTGAGTG